TCAGGCTCTGAGGAGAAGGACATATGAGAAGGATGAGCACAAGACTAGGATGGATGCACTCCCTTCAGGCTCTGAGGAGAAGGACATATGAGAAGGATGAGCACAAGACTAGGATGGATGCACTCCCTTCAGGCTCTGAGGAGAAGGACATATGAGAAGGATGAGCACAAGACTAGGATGGATGCACTCGCTTCAGGGTCTGAGAAGGAGGAGATATGAGAAGGATGAGCACAAGACTAGGATGGATGCAGTCTCTTCAGGCTCTGAGGAGAAGGAGATAGAGGAAGCTCCTACTTCATTAATCAAGGAAATCTTTGCTAAATGGATGGATGTCGAAAACTTTGCAGAGAAGTGCCACCCCAACAAAGCCCAAACAAGTCAGAATAGCATTATCTGGATTGACCAGTGTCACATTTTCGAAAGATCCTGAGAAGAAGGCAAAAGCAAAGCTCTTTAGACAGATTTTTAGTAAAAGTCAAACCTGGTGAGCCTCAACCAGGGTCAACAAGGGAAAATAATGGGACAAAAGAAAACAAAACCAACAGGATGTCATAGTCCTGACATAGTCCTGACATAGTCCTGACATAGTCCTGACATAGTCCTGACGTAGTCCTGACATAGTCCTGACATAGTCCTGACGTAGTCCTGACGTAGTCCTGACATAGTCCTGACATAGTGCTGACGTAGTCCTGACGTAGTCCTGACGTAGTCCTGACATAGTCCTGACATAGTCCTGACGTAGTCCTGACGTAGTCCTGACATAGTCCTGACATAGTCCTGACGTAGTCCTGACATAGTCCTGACATAGTCCTGACGTAGTCCTGACGTAGTCCTGACATAGTCCTGACATAGTCCTGACATAGTCCTGACATAGTCCTGACGTAGTCCTGACATAGTCCTGACGTAGTCCTGACGTAGTCCTGACATAGTCCTGACGTAGTCCTGACGTAGTCCTGACATAGTCCTGACGTAGTCCTGACGTAGTCCTGACGTAGTCCTGACGTAGTCCTGACATAGTCCTGACATAGTCCTGACGTAGTCCTGACGTAGTCCTGACATAGTCCTGACGTAGTCCTGACGTAGTCCTGACATAGTCCTGACATAGTCCTGACATAGTCCTGACGTAGTCCTGACGTAGTCCTGACGTAGTCCTGACATAGTCCTGACGTAGTCCTGACATAGTCCTGACATAGTCCTGACGTAGTCCTGACATAGTCCTGACGTAGTCCTGACGTAGTCCTGACGTAGTCCTGACATAGTCCTGACGTAGTCCTGACATAGTCCTGACGTAGTCCTGACGTAGTCCTGACATAGTCCTGACGTAGTCCTGTCATAGTCCTGACGTAGTCCTCAAGTTTTATGGGAAGCGGACTCGTCTTCCAAAAATATAATAACAATAACATCTCCTCCTTCCCAGCACCATATTAGTAAGCACTTGACTCTTCTCACCAAGATAAAGTGAGTTTAAATTTTCATTTATTTCACTTAAATTCTTTTTGTTTATGTATTTTAGTGTGAAGCAGTGTTTAAATTATTTGATACAACCACGTCCTTTAATGTCTAACATGCCAATAATAATAGGATTTTTGTTTCATGGAACGGATTAATCATTTTCTCTTTATTTCTTATGCGGAAAATACGTTTGGTATACGTCCTGTTTGGTATACGTCCTGTTTGGTATACGTCCATGGATCTGGAACGGATTAAGAACGTATACCGAGGTACCACTGTACAAGTGCTTCTGTAGACACCATGAATTCTTTGACAAATTCCGCATTAATTCACAATAAAGTCAGTTGTATCCTGTTTCTACAACAACACGGTATTACACATGCTGTCAAACGGTGTGCTAAAAACCGCAAAGTTAACGGAATACCAATACTCAACACATCGAACATACGTGGAAATTGGCAAAAGAGAGAAACAATGACACACTCAGACATATGCTCGATTCTTATATGCGTGGGTTCATTTTGCGTCGACGTGTTCAAGCAAATGGTTTGAATGTATTCAACGCTAATCCAGTCGGTATTGTTGAACTTTGGCCACCACACTAGCGGAGGACTTTAAAAGAAGTGAATATTTTTTAATGCAAAAGAACATTTGTTTTATTGGACGTGTTTTAATGGAAGTGTGAACTAACGGATCATGTACAAGAATTTTTGCATTGAATTTAACGTTTTTATTCAAAAGAACATTCGTTTGATTGGAAGTGTGAATAATGATAATTTTTGCAGTGAATTAAAATTGAAGTACCAAAAAAATCTAAATTTCTGAATTAATTTTGATTTTCTTTGTGTAGCTTCGTAAAGCATTTATTTTTATTTTTCATAACATAGCGATACCCAGAACTTCTCATTGAATAAGAACATTTAAATATTTACCCCAGTTTGCAAAAGTCAATATCAAAGGATAAATTAATTTTAATTTTATTTTGAAGTTCTCCTGGAGTCTATGTGGCCCCATTCTTACCCAGCTATAACTATCAACTAATCAGATACTAAAAGCTTTTCATATAAATAGAATAGTGGTTTAATAATTTCTCTGACTGACATTTTCTGTTGTCAACACTTGACAGCTCTTTGGTGTTTCTTTTTTCAGCTAAATAAATTATGTCATGAAAAAAAAGGAGAGGGGGGGGGGGCACATACGTGACAAGGATTTCTATTGTAATGTACACTTTGGAGGGGGGGGGGCTAAATCTGCCAAAATAGCATGATGTCATTTATGGATGGGTTGATCTTCACAAATTTAAAAACGAATTTAAAATTTGATACTGAATTTGATGTTGCTATACCATAATTGGAATTCTTTAAGTTCTTAGTTATTCAGATTTGTTTCATTGTTCAAAAGATTAATTATACGATTAAATTTATCAAGTTAAAAGTTTCAGACATTAGAAGCAATCGCTTTGATTTAAATACTGTCAATTTACTTTATTTGCACTTGTTTCTTTTGGATTAACATTGTAAGCCAATTATATTGGTACATGAACTTGTTTTGGTGGGAAATTAGATTACTCCTCTACTAGTTTGTTGGATTGTCTGTACATCTACTTGTTTTTTAGATTGTCTGTACATCTAATTGTTTGTTGGATTGTCTGTACATCTACTTGTTTGTTGGATTGTCTGTACATCTAATTGTTTGTTGGATTGTCTGTACATCTACTTGTTTGTTGGATTGTCTGTACATCTTCTTGTTTGTTAGATTGTCTGTACATCTACTTGTTTGTTGGATTGTCTGTACATCTACTTGTTTGTTAGATTGTCTGTACATCTACTTGTTTGTTGGATTGTCTGTACATCTACTTGTTTGTTAGATTGTCTGTACATCTACTTGTTTGTTGGATTGTCTGTACATCTACTTGTTTGTTAGATTGTCTGTACATCTACTTGTTTGTTGGATTGTCTGTACATCTACTTGTTTGTTAGATTGTCTGTACATCTACTTGTTTGTTGGATTGTCTGTACATCTACTTGTTTGTTAGATTGTCTGTACATCTACTTGTTTGATGGATTGTCTGTACATCTACTTGTTTGTTAGATTGTCTGTACATCTACTTGTTTGTTGGATTGTCTGTACATCTACTTGTTTGTTAGTTTGTCTTTACATCTACTTGTTTGTTAGATTGTTTGTACATCTACATGTTTCTTGGATTGTCTGTACATCCACTTGTTTGTTAGATTGTCTGTACGTCTACTTGTTTGTTGGATTGTCTGTACATCTACTTGTTTGTTGGATTGTCTGTACATCTACTTGTTTGTTAGATTGTCTGTACATCTACTTGTTTGTTAGATTGTCTGTACATCTACTTGTTTGTTGGATTGTCTGTGCATCTACTTGTTTGTTAGATTGTCTGTACATCTACTTGTTTGTTGGATTGTCTGTACATCTACTTGTTTGTTGGCTTGTCTGTACATCTACTTGTTTGTTACATTGTTTGTACAATTACTTGTTTGTATTTAAATAAAATCTTGGTAACACATTAATAAATTGCTGTTTTCATTGTCAACAATACAAGTGTTGCTGTCAACAATAAGTTTCTATTCAAATGAGGATAACATGAATTTTTCAGCTTTTTAAACTTCATCTTTTCTCTCTACTCACTACACAATTTCTCTCTACTCCCTACACAATTTCTCTCTACTCACTACACAATTTCTCTCTACTCACTACACAATTTCTCTCTACTCACTACACAATTTCTCTCTACTCACTACACACTTTCTCTCTACTCACTACACAATTTCTCTCTACTCACTACACAATTTCTCTCTACTCACTACACAATTTCTCTCTACTCACTACACAATTTCTCCCTACTCACTACACAATTTCTCTCTACTCACTACACAATTTCTCTCTACTCACTACACAATTTCTCCCTACTCACTACACAATTTCTCTCTACTCACTACACAATTTCTCTCTACTCACTACACAATTTCTCCCTACTCACTACACAATTTCTCTCTACTCACTACACAATTTCTCTCTACTCACTACACAATTATTTTTTTTTTTTTTTTTTTTTTTTTTTTTTTTTTTTTTTTTTGGGGGGGGGGGGGGGGGGGGTGCACATTGACTGGCGGGGAGGTAAATTTGTTTTCTCAATATTGAGTTTACTGTATTTGGTTATTAAATTTTGTTTAACAAATAATTATTATACAAAGCATTTGTAACATTTATTATTGAATTACAGGGCTGGCTGGTCAGGAATTAAAGAAATAATATTAACATGTGTAATATTATGTCATAATTTGTGTCATGAAAATTCCAAAGAAACTAACAGTTTGACTTTGACATGTGACTTAAAATTTGACGTATGCAAATATTGATAGAGCAACGTCTGCACTTTATAATATGTATCACCTGAACTTTCTTGAAAACATTTTCACAAAACTGTTTAAGGTTATTACAGTCATTGAAAGTAAAACATTGACCCAGAAGTTGCCTCGTCCGAAACTCTGGAGTGAGCGTGAGCTCCCATCACTTTTGTCCTATTTAGCGTCAAAAAAGAAACAGTTTTGTTTGCGAGCAGGCTCAACTTTAAACCTGCGACTGTTGCAGTATTCAGATCCATTTGAATACAGCTCTTTGATAACCGACCCTTTGAGAATTGCGCTTCGACACGCATCGTACCAAACGTCGCAGAATTCCTCACAAACGGTTAGGCTTTCCAGCATGTAAAAGTTGTTTTGGTTAGGAGCACACACGTAGCACATTAGGTAGTTGGTGTACTTCTGGCAAGCCGGTGACGACCCTCGAAGTGGTTTCACCCTCGGGAAAATCGCATCGATTTCCTCCTGTCGACAGCAGCTATTCTCTTTAAACCAAGTACAGTTCTTGAGATTTAGATGAATTTGAGGGGCCCTGTTTGCAAAGAATGAGCAGTACTGCTGCTTGGGTTTTGTGACGATAGCCACGTCTGTATTAGCGCTTGCCTGCGTGAGCAATACCCCCAAGTAAAGGATTAGGCCGGCGTTGATGAACATGACTTTCTTAAACTACACAACACACAATCGTATTGGGGTAGAGATAATGGCGAGGCCAGGCCTCTACATAGAAACCAGTGGCATCATGGACGAATCAATTAATGATGGCGCTTGGCATCGATTTTGTGATCGTGGAAAGGAAAGTTTTAAAAAATCTCTTTGAGGAAGCAAAATTACTTCCCCTGAAAGATCGATGCTTCTGTGCATTTGCTCTAAATGGGACCAAATTTTCTAACTTCGTTGTAGTTGAAGGTTCATTTGCTCGAAATGGGACCAATCTCTTACTTCGTTGTAGTCGAATGCTACGTAGCAAATCTTTTGTTTCATCTACGATGTACGTGACTTACAACATAACACTGCAGACGTGGCAAAGGATTTCATTTTGACGAGAAATACAGGGCATGGAAATAATTAATGCTAGGTAAGGAAACCTAAACAAAGGAACTCAACGAACTTGTCTGCAAGAAATCTTCGCCAGCCTACAGTAAAAACAAAGAATACTAAATAATTATTTTTTTAGACTTAACATGTAGTATTCTAGATAACCTTCTTTTAACAGTGTTGCTGACAAATTTGACTAAATTTGCAAAGCCAACTAAGATGACCATCACATCATCATTTTGGATGGATGTAACTACTACAAAACACTTGAAGCAATAGACTATGCAAAAGACTATGATATCCACATGATCCCTCTTCAACTTCCTTTCACAAACAAAATTCAACTATGCGACATATAACTTTTTTTAACACCTGAGATCTGTGTACAACACATTAAGATGTGTGAACGTGTACAATAATTTGATGAAAGAAACCAATCAAATAAGAATTGGTGACATTGAGAAAGGAGGTTGGGGTGAGGGTAAACCTTCGGGACTGGTAAACCTCATAATTTTCTTACTTTGAGTTAAATTAAAAGAACGTTATTATTATTACAACTTTCTTTTACAATAATCGTTCCCGGTAACTGATTGGTCGATTGTTTAGAACATAGGTGCTTCTCATTATCAAATAACGTATTGGTCGATTTTTAAAGGCCATAGGAGCTTCTCATTATCAAATAACTTACTGGTCGATTGTTTAGGAAATAATTGCTCCTTTTTATTATTAAATAACTTACTGGTCGATTGTTTAGGACATAGGTGCTTCTCATTATCAAATAACTTACTGGTCGATTGTTTAGGAAATAATTGCTCCTTTTTATTATTAAATAACTTACTGGTCGATTGTTTAGGACATAGGTGCTTCTCATTATCAAATAACTTACTGGTCGATTGTTTAAGGACATAGGTGCTTTTCATTATGAAATAACTTACTGCTCGATTGTTTAAGGACATAGGTGCTTTTCATTATGAAATAACTTACTGGTCGATTGTTTAAGGACATAGGTGCTTTTCATTATGAAATAACTTACTGCTCGATTGTTTAAGGACATAGGTGCTTTTCATTATGAAATAACTTACTGGTCGATTGTTTAAGGACATAGGTTCTTTTCATTATGTAATAACTTACTGTTCGATTGTTTAAGGACATAGGTGCTTTTTATTATCAAATAACTTACTGGTCGATTGTTTAATGATATTGGTGCTTTTTATTATCAAAAAACGTATTGGTCCAATAGACTTTCCTTCTGTTGAAAACCCTTCCAAAACCGAGCCGTATTAAAAAAATAAATCAATACCAACTTTCAAATACATTAACCCTTTTCATTCCCTAACGTAATCCAAAATACTGTCAAACAATGAATACTTTTTCCTCCAGGAAGACAACTATTTCCAACAACTGCCCAATATACAGTGTTACCTCGGAATACGTCTGCTTTGGAATAAGTCCAACTTGGTATACGTCCTGTTTAGACGAGAAAAATATTGCTTGGTATACGTCCTTCGTTTGGAATAAGACCCGCGTCCTACATGTACGCAAGAGAATGACGTTCCTATATAAGAATGGAACTGTCCTTTTTTTGTGTAAAGTATTGTATATCATTGTGATATCAAGCGATTGTCAAAAAAAAAAAAACAAAAAAAAAACAACAGTGTAAGATAAATACGAAATAATGCATTAATTTTTTTAGAGTCTTTTTACAATAATTAAATATTGATTTCACAGATATTTGGGTTAACATTGGCTTCATTAGATGTATTAGATGTGTCAGAAATTGTCCTAAACCGCTACAGGAATACCTCTAGTGTTGGCAGTATGCTAGAAACACTAGACTGATCATCATTGGAGAAACGACGACGACAATCCAGGTTCTCCATGATGTACAAGATAAATAATGGGCTGGTCCACTGTTCCGGTATTAAACAGAAACTCGTCCCTCTCCCCCATAGACAGCGACGAGGCCATGATAGGCAATTCAGGCTCATACCAGCAAGAAGCCAGTATAGGAGCTGCTCATTCCTGCCCAAGACAATCAGGGACTGGAACAATCTTTCAAAAGGAACGGTTGAGGCGACAACATTAGACACATTTCTGTCTATTGCCTCAAGCCTTCAAACCCCTAGTGCATGATTCCCTCACAAAGTGGCACGGGAAATCTGTGAAATTTCCTCATCAACATCAGGCACAGAAACATTGCAAATCCCATCTACATGCATAGGAGCCAAAATGATCAATAAATTGATCGTGGGCCCTTAAGATATAGAGGAAGAAGAATTCAAGATAATTATTAAACGTACGTTCTTTCTGCCGAAGCTACCTCACCTCCCCTCTCCAACCACTACACGCAACAGTATGCGAAATATATAAAAATCAGCTACCCCCTCCTTCCCTTACAGTGCGTCAACACTCTACGGATGGACCTGTATATCATACTGATTTGAGACGTTTCCATTGTAATGTATTGACTCTGTGCATGCGCTTTATTGTAGTTTTATTTCCTGGCGTTACGCACTGTAAAAATACCGGTCGGCATCAGCAACCCCCAGGGGGCGGGGGTGAGGGTATGCAAAAGGTAAGTTTGTGGTGCGGACGTTCTTTGTGGACAGCCCTGATCCAGAGCCATGGTTTGTGTAGCCCCCCTGCTTTGGTTGTGTGCCCCTTGTTGGACCTCTGCCCATAACTCACCCCCCCCCCCGCCACGGATCCATGTCTTAAAAAATAAATAAATAACTTGATGTAGCGTAAATCCTGTCCCACATGCACTGTGCGATGGTTTCTGTGTGGCAGTGTCCTGTCCCACATGCACTGTGCGATGGTTTCTGTGAGGCAGTGTCCTGTCCCACGTGCATTGTGCGATGGTTTCCGTGTGGCAGTGTCATGTCCCACGTGCATTGTGCGATGGTTTCTGTGTGGCAGTGTCATGTCCCACGTGCATTGTGCGATGGTTTCTGTGAGTCAGTGTCCTGTCCCACATGCACTGTGCGATGGTTTCTGTGTGGCAGTGTCCTGTCCCACGTGCACTGTGCGATGGTTTCTGTGTGGCAGTGTCCTGTCCCACGTGCACTGTGCGATGGTTTCTGTGAGGCAGTGTCCTGTCCCACGTGCATTGTGCGATGGTTTCTGTGTGGCAGTGTCATGTCCCACGTGCATTGTGCGATGGTTTCTGTGAGGCAGTGTCCTGTCCCACATGCACTGTGCGATGGTTTCTGTGTGGCAGTGTCCTGTCCCACATGCACTGTGCGATGGTTTCTGTGTGGCAGTGTCCTGTCCCACATGCACTGTGCGATGGTTTCTGTGAGGCAGTGTCCTGTCCCACATGCACTGTGCGATGGTTTCTGTGTGGCAGTGTCCTGTCCCACATGCACTGTGCGATGGTTTCTGTGAGGCAGTGTCCTGTCCCACATGCACTGTGCGATGGTTTCTGTGAGGCAGTGTCCTGTCCCACGTGCACTGTGCGATGGTTTCTGGGAGACAGTGTCATGTCCCACGTGCATTGTGCGATGGTTTCTGGGAGACAGTGTCCTGTCCCACGTGCACTGTGCGTTGGTTTCTGGGAGACAGTGTCCTGTCCCACGTAATATGGTATTTACCAAATAATATCCTACTGATGTTTCTCTGTTTCACTATATTTCATCTATTTTATTATTGCTCTGTGTTCATGTATCATTGGAAATTCGGGTCCATTATTATTGTGGACTTCATTTTTCTCAGGGTCAATATTTATATATTATCTCACTTCATGTGTTCCACTTCCGGCGACACGAATGGATACTTCTTGAGTTGTCTACTGTGCCCTATTCTTTGTTATATTTTCATTTCTACTGTTGGCTGAGGAAGGCTTTATGCCGAAACGTCCTTGTTTTTTGTCCTGTTTTCTAATTCAAGCTTCACACATGCATCGTTTTGCTATATTATCCATTTACTAACCTTGAAAGCAGTCCTTTCATTCACACATTCTCACAAGCTCACACACATTCTCACAAGTTCACACACATTCTCAAATGTTCTCACGCTTTCTCACAAGTTCTCACGCATTTTTGCCAGTTCTCACACATTCTCATAAGTTCCTACATATTCTTACAACTTCCCACGCATTCCCATAAGTTCTCACATATTCTCACACGTTCTCACGCATTGTCACAAGTTCGCACGCATTCTCACAAGGTCTTACACATTGTCACAAGTTCTCACACATTCTCACATATTCTCAAAAGTTCTAACACATTCAAACAAGTTCTCACACATTCTCACATGTTGCAACGCATTCTCAGAAGCTCTCACATATTCTTACAAGTTCTCACACATAATCACAGGTTCTCACACATTCTCACATGTTCCAACGCATTCCAAAAAGTTCTCACACATTCTCATAAGTTCTAACACATTCTAACAAGTTCTCACAAATTCTCAATGGCTCTCAAATATTCTATTAAGTTCTCGCAAATTTTCACAAGTTCTCACATATTTTTACAATTATCACAAGTTCTCACACTTTCTAACAAGTTCTCACACATTATCAAAAGTTCTTACACATTCTCACAAGTTCTTACACATTCTCACCAGTCTCACAAGTTCTGACGCATTCTCACAAGTTCTCACCCATTATCATGAGTTGTAACATATTCTCACAAGTTCTCACTCATTTTCATAAGTTCTCAAACATTCTAACACATTCTCACAAGTTCTCACACATTCTCACAAGTTCTCAAAGATTCTAACACATTCTCACAAGTTCTCACAAATTGTCACAAGTTCTTACAAATTCTCACATGTTCCTACGCTTTCTCACTAGTTCTTACACATTCTAATGAGTTCTCACACATTCTAACACGTTCTCACTAATTCTCAAGAGTTCTCACGCATTCTCACAAGTTCTCACATATTCTCGTAAGCTCTCACACATTCCCACACATTCTCACAAGTTCTAATCTAACAAGTTCTCATAGATTCTCGCATGTTCCAACGCATTCTCACAAGTTCTCACATATTCTCACAAGTTCTCACATATTTGGACAAGTTCTCACACATTCTTATAAGTGCTCATACATTTTCACAAGTTCTGACACATTCTCACAAGTTCTTACACATTCTCACAAGTTCTCACACATTGCCACAAGTTCTTAAGCATTCTCACAAGTTCTTAAGCATTCTCACAAGTTCTCAAGCAATCTCATAAGTTCTTACACATTCTCACAAGTCTCAACAGTTCTGACATATTCTCATAGGTTCTCACACATTCTCACAATTTCCCACGCATTCTCACAAGTTCTCATACATTTTCATAAGTTCTCACATATTCTCACAAGTTCACACGCATTCTAACACGTTCTAACTAATTCTCAAAAGTTCTCACGCACTCACAAGTTCTCACACATTCTCACACATTCTTACAAGTTCTAACACATTCTAAAAAGTTCTCACACATTCTCACATTTCCAACGCATTCTCACAATTTCTCACATATTCTCACAAGTTTTCACACATTTGCACAAGTTCTCACACATTCTCATAAGTTCTCATACATTTTAACAAGATCTCATACATCCTCATAAGTCGTCACACATCCTCACAAGTTCTCACACATTCTCACAATTTCTTACACATTCTCAAAAGTTCGCACACATTCTCACACGTTTTCATGCATTTTCACAAGTTCTCACACATATTCACACATTATCACAAGTTCTCACACATGTTGTCAAGTTCTCACATATTATCACAAGTTCTGACACATTCTCACAATTCTCACAAATTCTTACACATTCTCACAAGTTTCTCACACATTTTCACAAGTTCTTACACATTCTCACAAGTCTCACAAGTTCTGACATACTCTTACAGGTTCTCACACATTCTCACAATTTCCCACGCATTCTCACAAGTTTCCACACATTTTCACAAGTTCTCAGATATTCTCACAAGATCCGACGCATTCTCACAAGTTCTCACAAATTCTCACTATTTCTCACGGATTCTCAGAAGTACTCAAGCATTCTCACAAGTTCTCACACATTCTCAGAAGTTCCGACACATTTTCACAAGTTCTCACTCATTCTCACAAGTTTTCACAAGTTCTCACTAATTCGCACAAGTTCTCTAGCATCTCACTAGTTCTCAAAAATTCTCACAAGTTTCTCACACATTCTCACAAATTCTCACGCATTCTCACAAGTTCTTACACATTCTCAAAAGTTCCTACATATTCTCACAATTTCTCACGCATTTTCACAAGTTTTTACGCATTCTCACAAGTTCTCACGCATTCTCACAAGTTCTTACACATTCTCACAATTTTTTATGCATTTGTACAATTTCTCACACATATTCACACATTCTAAATGGTTCTCACAAGTTAGTTGATTATTATCCAAGGTAGGGCATCCAAACTAAGAAAGATGATTCTTAGCCAAGTTTGATGATTCACATATAAGGTAAATGGTTCCCATTTAACATAGATGATTGCCAGCCAAGGTAAATGCTTCCCATCTAAGGTAGATGAATACCATCCAAGGTAGATGATTTCCAGCCAAGATAGATGATTCTTATGTTAATTATTTGATTCTCTTTTTAGGCAGATGATTCGCATCCAAAGTAAATGATTACCAGCCCAGCAATATGATTTCCATACAAGGTAGATAATAACCAGCTAAGGTAGATGATTACCTGCCAAGATAGGGTATAGTCATTGAATATGAATAGACCTTAAATATTTCTTGACCAACTTAGATGCTTTTAATCTGAGGTAGATAATTCCCATTCAAATAGGATAATTACCAGCCAAGGTAGATTCTTCCCATCTAAGGTAGATGAATCTAATGTAAGAAAGTTGATTCACATATAAGGTAGATGATAACCATCCAAGACATATGAATATAAGCCAATATAGATGATTCCTTTTCAAATTAGTTGCATCACATCTAAGGTAAAAGATATCCATTACAAGTAGATGATAAATAGCAAAAGTAGATGATAACTATCCAAAGTAGATTACCTGCCAAGATAGGCGATTGCCATTCAAGGAGGACGATTTCGATCTAAGGTAAATATTTCTTAACCAAGTAAGATGCTTTCCATCTAAGGTAGATAATTAGTTCATATTGAATAATTACATGGTACTTTATTTTATATTGGTTTAATTTACTTTAGATAAGTTGATTTTAGAGGCGTTTAATTTATTTTATATTGCTTTCGTTTAAATTAGTACAGTATATTTTAGATTAAATTAGATTTCCTTGAAATCGTTTAGTTAAATTTATGTTCATTTAAATTAGTTTAGATATCTTTAGATCACTGTAGTTTAAATTATTATAGATTATTTCAAATATGTTTAGCATGGAATATTGAACACTACTAATATAAAGTTAACGAAATTTTGCGAAGTTTAAGCCAATTTTAAAATATTTATTGTTTTCCTTTTTTTTCATTAATTTTTAGGGGGGAGAGGGGGGAGGGGGATTAGCATGGAATATTGAACACTACTAATATAAAGTTAACGAAATTTTGCGAAGTTTAAGCCAATTTTAAAATATTTATTGTTTTCCTTTTTTTTCATTAATTTTTAGGGGGGAGAGGGGGGAGGGGGGGGGATTGTCGCCTTAAAACTCTTGTTCAAGGCGAGATTTGGTTTTGGCAGAAAATGCCAGGTTCTTTAGCTTCGGGTTATAATAACCCTACTAGTCCGGTGCGCCACGAAAAGGCAGAACCTTTGCACCGGGCAACCTAAACCAATTACAGAACAATCCATAATGGTCTAGATTTAATTAAAACCAAACTTAGAAAGAAAATCAATTGTTTTTATTTTAACATTTTATTTTTGTTTTAATTTAAAACTCAAGATTTATTATATTTTAAAATAATTATTATTTTCTTTATTTATTTATTTAATTTTTTATTTAATCTGACATAGTGTCTTACAATTTTTTTCCGGGAGGATTTTATTAAGGTTGGTTTTAATTATGGGGCGCCCCAACAATATAAATCAGCAGCCGCCCTCGCAGTAAAGGATCATGGGGTCGGACACGTTGGGGCAACTCATCTGTTTTCTGAGGTCTTATATAACGCGTATGCGCGGACGTACAAGATTATGGGGCGCCCCAACAATATAAATCAGCAGCCGCCCTCGCAGTAAAGGATCATGGGGTCGGACACGTTGGGGCAACTCATCTGTTTTCTGAGGTCTTATATAACGCGTATGCGCGGACGTACAAGGAGTCATGATGCAGTATTTTTTTAAGACGAGGCAAAGGGTGGGTGCTGGGTGGCCGAATGGTCTAAACTGAACAATTCCAAACCCTTCGACCCATCAAGATTCATCGACACCCTCAATTTCCGCCCTATTTCCCGATGAAAACGCTCCCCAATTTCGGTATCGATAGATACATTGCCTAGTGACGCAGCTACAATTAGTGCCACCATGGGTGGGCACATATTTTTGCCGTCCTCCCTTTCACGATACAAACTCTGCCACACCAGCATATAAAGAAAAAGTGACACTTCGGTGGATCACCCCATCCATCTTATTTCGACGCCACTAGCAGGTTTGTATCAACAGTGTTTGGCGTCAAGGGACAAGATTCATTTTTACTCCCCCCCCCCTCCTTTTTTAACTCTGAAACTGATTATTTTCAACCATTAAATACCATCAAAGCCCATTTTGCCTCTCCCCGCTAGTCTGGTGCCCGGTGACTTATGCCCCATCTGCCATACCTTAGCTACGCCTCTGGCCGCAGGCAAATGGCACAGCCCCCACTAAAATTTGAAATGCCCCCCCCCCCCGGGAAAATGTCTGAAAGCAACACTGAACCCAAGTGACGCCATTGTATTCTGTATGCCAATTGTTTTACAACTATGATAAAATTAAATAATACATTATGATCAGGTAGGACCTGTTAATTTATCAGTTAGACTCCAGTCCATTTCAAAACTGTTCAAGGAGATTCTAAAATTAACGAAGCTGTTTTAAATACAATAATTTTTGGAGAAGCCCAAATAAAAATTTCGTGTGTAATTATCAAACTTGCACTGGCGTCGAACGATATAAAAAAAATTCGCACTGAGCCGTATCCATGAGGCTTTGGATTAGTTCAGTAGTTCTCAATCTATGATTTACAAACCCTTTGGTGGTCGAACGACCCTTAAATAGAGGTCACCTAAGACCATCGTAAAACAAATATTTATGAAGTAGCAAAGAAAATGATTTTCATGGATGGGGATTACCACAAATTGAGGAACTGTATTAAAAGGTCTCGGCACAAGGATAGTTGAGAGCCACTGGTGTAGTGAAAGTAAATAAATGATACAAATTACCGAAAGAAAATAAAGGAGAGAAAAGATACCTAACATGATTGACATCAACCATATTGTGCAGCTGTGCATTTCTTCATTTTGATGTTGAAATTGCTTTATTTTACATTTTATATTTTTTTAAAGATTACCGTATAAAATTTTAAATACCTGTTCAATTTTAAAACATTCAATAGTGACAATCTCTGCAGTCTGCCGATGATCCGATCTAAGACTACTGACTAAGACACAAGAGCTAATTAGTAGAAACTAAAAATTCATCATTTCTGATTTTGTTATTATTGACTTAAAATTAATTCAAATTACACATTTTAGCAGTAATTTCTGTCGTGTATCATACCGGTCTCATCTGGAAAACTATCTTTTTTGAACTTTTTGTTTATATAATATAATATTGTGTTTTCCATGAAACGAAACACGGAACAAGGCCAAAAAGAGTCAGTTGACAACAGATTGTTAGTACAATATGCCTCTGTGAATAATATTTTATTAGTACAAGATGCTATTGACAATGGAGCAGATGTAAATCTTATATGGGTAAAACAGCAGTCCTTAGTCCTTGATTGATACTTGATAAGATTAACCAATCATATTCATATGAGAATAATATAATATATCACACAAAAACATGAAATTATATTATTTATCATTTAATTATATATTCAAAAATATTTTTTTTAAATTGTGAATTTGACATATACTTTTTGTGACTTGAGTTTAAGTAAACCAATTTGTGTTAATTTGGATTATTATACAGCACAGTGTGACTTGGTAAAGCTCTTAGTCTTACTCTAAGCCTTGCCATTTATCACATTTGTGGAGAGTCATTTTTATGAGTTCTCCATACTGTGTATTCACTGTAGTCTGTAGTGAGTAGTAGTGTAATTCCATAACTGGATTCTGCTGGCAGGGCCATGCAGAGGATATTTGAGCCCCAAGCCCAAGCAAATCTAAATTAGACAATTTTGGGCCTCCACAAATTTCAAAATAGTTTTGTCAAAAGTACCCAAAACATAATTCTGAGGATTCTATCTATATCGTATATACCCGGTAATAAAAAAAAATTTTGTGTGATAAATTAAACCAGTTGTATCAAAAGTAATTGTACCCAAAAATGATTCTGTGGATCATATATCTTATATTATAAAATATTTTTGTGTGATAAAGCAAACAAGTTGATATATTTTTACATTAAAAAGAAAAGAAATTCTTTGTGATTAGATTCATACTTAAAAAATTCAAAACAACAACAAAAAACAACATCATGCCAAAAAATACTGGTTGGCCTATGTTACTTCATACTTCTGTTCTACCACAGAGGACCTTTACTCTTCCACACATGTAATTTGTTCTACCACAAGGTTCCTGTTATACCACAGGGATCACCTGTTCTACCAGGGTGGTCCTGTTCTACGACAGGGGTCCTCTGTTTTACCACAGGTGTCTTCTGTTTTAATACATTTACAGAGGTCTTCTGTTCTACCACAGGTTTCCTCTGTTCTATAATTTGATGCATTCTTTTTGGTGCATTTAATTTTAAATCATAAATACCAGTACATGATTAGAAAACTTAGTAAAAAAAAAACTTGTCAAATGTTGTTATTAAATTGTTTTGTAATTTGATACCGGTAATTGTGTGTTGGTGACATGAATTATTCTACTGCAGACTGAATGGCATTCACTACATTTTGTATGCATATAATATAAACTTTTCATTAATTGTCCAAGATGCAAACCAATACCACCTAAGAAGATTTTGTGATAAATGTAAATTGTCCATAACTCGGTGCATGTAGCATAAGTATTTTGCTTGGATCTTAACTCAATAATCTTTTATAATATTTAAAAAAATTATTGAATATAGGCGTACTGCAAATAATAAAACATTTAGTAAGAGTTACTTAAAGTCAAAGATTTTTAAATAACTCAATTCCATACAACATTTGAGATTTCAAATTTTATTATGTTCATTGCAGCAAGGTCAAACTGCATTGTTTTTTGCCACTCAGCACTGCAACTTGGAAATGCTGAAACTACTGTTGCAAGCAGGAGCTAAGCCATCAGCTATTAATAAAGTTTGTATTGTAATTTATGCCAATTTTTTTTTTAATTTATGTTATTTTATGTGAGACTCAAAGTAGATTATGCTTTTTCCTTATAATTTATTTGAAGTGAAACCCTTAAAGATTTAGGAAAGAGCTTACTGAAGAAATTACTTTTTAATAGTGTAAATTAAGTAAATAGGTTTCTAAATTTAAAATGTAATTTTCCTGCACTTAAATCACAAATATGTTCAAATAATCAAAGTTTTAGTTTTATAAAAAAAATTCTTTTGGTTTATTTTATGGTTAACAATAAGATTTAGAAGCCATCTAAATTTGAACTTATGTATGTTTTTAAAACCATTCAATCTTTTGAATCCCTTCTCTTCAGGATGGTTTAACACCATTACACAAAGCATGTGAGAAAGGGGCATATGACATTGTTCAATTACTGATAGATGCAGGCTCTGATGTCAATGTTAGCTCAAAGGTACAAGTAAATTTGTTTTTTCAAATTTGAGTGCTGAGTACAGACTGAATGAAATATTTATTTGTTGTCCTGTATTTCATTTTAAATAAAAAATTTTGTTAAATGTGATCATTGTTTTTCATAATTACAGTACATGTGTTTTATGCACAAGTCTGAATAATTTTATTACGTACTATAACTTTGATGTGTCCTTCATTTTGTGTTACCTGTTATGTTTACCACACAAAAAAATTATATACTGAAAACAAAATGATAATTTTTAACAAAAATAAATAATGAGTTATAAAATCAAATAATCACTCTAAACGTCAATATTGTCATTCAGGAAATGAGGTCTTACAACATATGAAGCCTGATTTGGTTGATCAGAGTCTTATGTTTAAATTATTATAGTTTGAAAATTGCTTTCTTAATCAGAATGTTTATCCACAGTATTATGTATAGTATAATAAAAACAAATTTCCATTTATTTGGATCAATAACAAAATTTATCTTAACTTTAAACTAATGCCCCAAAAATATGTTTGCCTGTAACTATGTAAATAAATAACTGAAGAGGTATTGTAAAATTATTTATTGATAAGAAAACATCTCACTATCTAGAGTTATCCATATTTAGTATAATACACACCTTCCTGACTTTATTATGAAACCATTGTTAGCAAAATTGATTCATTTCAAACATGTAAATTAATACTATAGCATTACACTGCTGGTTATGATCTCAATTATTTTAATGGATCAGTTAATTATCAGTCAGTTTTCAGTACCTGTACAAGAGATGACATAATTTCATTGAAAAGTGAAGTAAATAAACTTTATCTTTTGAGTAGAGTTCACATCTGGAGGCTAATTATAATTATTTACCAGTACTCAGTATTTTTTTAGCTAAATAAATATTCCAGATGCTTGCCCAGGACCAATGTGGACTGAAATTTGATTTGCTCTTATTATACTAACTTAAGCTAGTGCATTTATTTAATAATAAACTTCCTTAAAATAGTACCGGTAGTTAATGAAATAAATATGGAAACAAATTTTTAATTTATTTTAACATTCTATCTTTTTCAGTATGGAAGAACTCCTTTGCTGTATGCCGTTCAGTACGGAAATTTGGCATTGGTTTTGTTGCTTCTTAAATATAAAGCAAATATAAATGCAGTTGGTAGAAGCCTAGGAGCATTCACTGAGAGAAATGTATGATTAGCAAATGTGCAGTTGTGTGGCTTAAAATAAATGCTGGTTCACTAAACTACTTCCTGTGTTTACACTTGTGATTACAAATAGAGGGTTATTTATTTATTATATTTAAAATTAATATCATATGCAGACATTCTCAATTTGCTATTAATTAATATTACTTTTATTTGGTTGTCAGTGTGCTATCGAGCAATGGTGTACTCCACTTGGTCAAGCATCAAAGATGGGACAGTCTGACTACATTTTAGCATTGGTAGAAGCAGGGGCACGATTAACAGATGTATTGGTTAGTAGACTAGTTGACATGGGCCACTTGATACGGGTACAGTAATTTAAACAGACTAAGAATGTTGTTACTGGTACCAGAATAAGATCAGTTGTAAACTTAATGTTTACATCATTCATTAGAATTATTATAAGAACTTAACATTTCATATTAGGATAAACTTGAAAATTAATCTGACGTCTTTGAGCATGCACAAATATGAAATAATGGTGTGTTGGGGGTGTGTTGGGGTGTGTTGGGGTTTTTTGGGGGTGTCTTGTGGGTGTTTTGGGGTGTTTTGAGGTTTGTAGGGGGGCTGAGGGATGTAATTCTGGTCCAGAGAGCGAGGTCATATAACTATTATTTTTATTCTTATTTTTGAAAAAAAATTGCATTGCAAATTTACAAAATTAGTCTTGATTACTGGTACTATTAAAAACTAAAATGTATTATTTGTTTACGATTTGTGAAAAATAATTTCTGGCATTTTGCTTGAAAAATGCTTGTTTTTTTTTTAAATTTATTGGGAGGCGAAATGTTGCTAGAAATATTATATAACGTTATCGGGGAGTTGTCAATGGAAATGTTTTATTATAAGGGGTAGAGGGGTGGATAAAATTGTTTTAATACTTTTGTGTTATATAATAATAATAATATATGTGAATGGCCCCTTTACAGATCATGGTTAATGTGCTGACAAAAGAAAGGAAGAGTTTCACAGCCTTTGATGTGAGCTTGAGCCATTCAGATCTAAATGTGCTGTCATACTTAATAAAGAATGGTGCAGCTATCAAACCAGTATGCTATGCTGGTAGTGGTAGCCATTTTGTTTGGTCAGAGGTATTCGATTCATTAATTTACTTCTTATGAAATTTATTTTTTATTAAATTTAATCTTAACAGCATACCCGTTACTTCAAATGATTTGTCAATTATCCAGGCTCTTTAAATACTTTAACATATTAATTAAAATAAACCCTATCTCATTCTTTCAGATTTTGGGTAAAAAACTTCCATAAGAATTTGTATACCGGGCACATTTAACTATTATATTAATTAATCTTAAAAATTTTTTAACAATTACTTGCAGTTAAATTTAAAATAAAATAAGTAAAATGAGATAGCACAACAAAAAATGAATGTGTCAGAAAGAAGCCTTCTTCAGCAAACAGTTCAAACAAAGAGTAACAAATATAAAAAGCTTAACTGAAATGTTGTACCGGTATTCACAGAATAGCAATAGAAATGAAACTTTTTGACATTTTTTTTTTTAATCTTCACCGAAGAAGGTTTACTGCTGACAGGTTCATTTGTTGTGTTATGATTTTTCCCCCTGCCCCCTTTTAAATATTTTCCTTCACCTAAGCTGATTGCAGTCTGCCCACTTATTATCATTTTGAATTAAATAACCAACTTTTAAAAAAAAAAAGATTGGCAGCAAATTGACATTTTCTTTTTTTCTTTGAATAACTGATGCTAATACTATAACTAATGTCAGGGAATGCTTCTAGTACTGGGGCAGCACACTTGAATTTTAATCTGATTGGTTTATTTAGTGCTGTCACCAATGTTTGGCTGGCTATAACTAGTAGATGGGAAGTTAAGAAGAAGAAAATAAAAAATCTTATTACTATAACCGGTACTGTAGTTTCTTTTAATGCAGTACATACGCAATTAGATACTGGGTACCATCATCTTAAAAAGTCACTCCATTTAGTAAGTAGTCTTTTTATTTTTCAGGCCTCGTGCTCTGTGATAACAGCTCTTCAAGGATGTCACCTTTCAGAGGAATTTCTATGTAAAGTTCTATTTCTGTTGACTCAAACAGGTTTCAGCATTCAAAAAGACTCTTACTGCAAGGATCTTATAAAATCTTATAAGCGTAAATCAGATCATGAAAATAAAAAATGTGATAGAGATTTATTGCTGGATATATTAACTGAAATTTCAGTTGGTAATTTTTCAAATGCATGCCAAAAGTTATTTGCTAGCACAAACTGTACACATTCTGACAGATCAAAAACAGTGCAGCTGATACTAGAAAATTCCTCCAATGTAAATACTCTCTTAGCAAAATGCAGGATTCGAATAAGGAATCGTTTAAGCCTTGTCAACCATAGGAGAGCCCTGGGTCCATTGATAGAGAGATTACCATTACCAAATCAACTCCTGCAATACCTTATGCTTGAATGTTAAGTTGTGATAAACCTCGTTTAACTTTTCATTGTTACAGGTACTGTAAGTTAATGATAATGATTGAGAAACTGAGGAATTACAATTTTACAACCCTAAATTATTGGATAAAAATACTATTACTAAGTAACTTAGACTAAGTATTACTGCACGGGTTCCGGTATAAAGAATTATTTTTAATTTATGACAATTTATGTATGTACCAGTGCTTTGTAACCAAATATGTGCATATTTGATATGACATTACCCGATAATTAAAATTGTGTAAATAAACTCGTTAATAGCCAATCTATTTGTAATCTTTAATTATATATAGTATAGCATAACTGTTGATAATCATGTATATCTTAAATCTTCCTTGCCAAAGCACAATACAAAATAAAACTTTTTTATTATACATAAGTACCAGTACCTCTGACTATATGAAAAGTTACTTGTTAATGAGGCTCAGATTCAGATAGCTTTTGTCAGATGAGTGGTGCTCCAAAAGTTATCTAACATTAAAGTAAAATAAAATTTAAAGTGCCGCAATCCAAATAGAATTTAGGCCCTACGCACTGTGAGCTCGTCACTAATCGCTCTAGTTCTTTGGTTGCCACAACCCGCGAACTTATGTCCTAGTAAATGTATCCCTAAACCTATCTTGAACCCTAAACTTATCCCTAACCTGGGTTTTGACCCTATCGGAACCAGGGTGCTATATCTTCAGATTAGTCAACATGCCTCTCGGTGCGAACCAGTTTAAAATGATTTTTGTCGCCACTTGTCCTTATTGCAATAAATAAAACTTCTAAAACTGTCTATCTCTTTGTGAAGGATGGCAAGAAAGCTTAAGTGTCATTGTTTACACCAAAATTTCATTGCATCATGATCAAGTCAGCAACCAACAGCAGAATACTTCAGAATAGCCAATTTGATGAAAATTAACTTTATTTTCTATTAATTATTTACCAAATAGCACAACTGTGGCCTTCACCACCCCTTATACTTGTATTGCCACAGCTCCTTCCTTGCAGGGCTTCAAGACTGCAATAGTTTGGCTATATCATTGCAGTTTGCTCCATTAAGTATTAAATTTAACATATAACATTTTTTTAAAATGATGCAACGTGAACATATAATATATATTTTTTAAGTAGTTTATTATTTCGAGCACTAAGACACATAACCTATAGGCTACCATAGTGAAATTCGGCACTTCATACTTTTTAATTGTATTTTTACACGCCATTATATTATATTATTTTTAAAAACTCTTTTGATGAAATCGCTATATTTCAAAGTGTATTTGTTAGATTGTAACAAAAGGCGCCTTTGTGAAAACCTAAATTTGGCAAGGGCGCCGGGAATCGAAATACTGTAGTAGGAACCACTGGCGTACCCGATGTGAATATGTTACACACCCAGTTCTCTAACGTAGCCAGTGGGAGAGCTGATGTAAAATGTGCCCAAAACTTACATGAATCTTGTTTTCCCATTTAAAAAATATTTTACCGGTACTTGTATATAAAAACTTTAAGAAGAAAAGTATATACTGCTTTACTTTAACATACCGGGTACCATTCATTAAGCAGCCTTAGTTAAATCAAACGTGTCTGATCTGCTCGTCATTCCCGCCCATCCTAATCCTAAATTTAACTAAATCAAATGTGTCTCTGGAACGATTCAAATTCAAGGATAACACTTCGTGATGACTTGGTAAATGGATTAAAATAAGTGTAGGATGTTGTGTAACAAAGATATAAATTTAAGTCGAGATAATATGAAGAACATTATATTTACAATCTACTACTAGTATGACCAATTCAAATAAGAGCTATCATTAGATAAGTTGTGTAAATTCGTAATAAATACCAAATCTATGACAGAGGTCTGTCTCTTAAGAAAAGATCAAGAATTTTGTTTGATGTGGACTAGTGTTATTATTTTATATTCCCAAAATTTCATTACAATAAAATATGATCAAACATTAAATGCAGCATAGAAAAGAAAATGACTTATTTTTTTGCGATTATAAATTCTACTTGTACGGTACAGTACTAACTTTGATTTATAAAGGGCAGTCACCCCATTCTTACTCCTTGGGTTGAAAAATCTCAAAAAACGCTATTACAACAAAGTGCAGGTACGTTCTCTGTACATTAGCACCTTTGTGATTGTAGACCAGTGAACATGTTGAAAATTATTCATAATAAAGGCAAAAAATATAGACAAAGTACTCCCTTTCACAAAACAAAACAACTAAACTGCCACAAGTGGACCGTTATTATTTTAAAATTGCAGATTTCAAAAATTTAAATCCTATTTCAGTACAGTTACGTACCCGGTACTGATTATGTTTAGACTACCGTAAGCAGTAAAAAGACTTTTTTGTAAAGTTATTTTGAAAAAAAGTTAGCAAAATCTGGGGGAGGGAGGCAATTTGCTGCCCTTGTGGGCCCATGCTTGAATGTGTGCATCAAGGCCATTCATATTTTATTTTCCCTACTATACCGATGCGATTGGTGGAGATGAAAATGAAATATGAAGTGCTTTGTGTGAGTTTTATACAAGTAAGGCACCAGTACCAAAGTTTGGTACACATTGATTTACATTTTAATCCATTTACTCATTGTGCTATACATTACCAGTACCCGAAATAGTGGTCTTCAAATTTTAAGTCTATAATTGTACAAGTTTGTGGGTTATTTAGGAGAGGCAACTAAAATTTTAGAAAGCTATATAGACCAATTCCAAACTGTACGAACAGATCTAAAGATGCTTCAAGTTTAAGCTAGTCTTTTTGTATACGGTATCATAGCGTTTTGAATTGGTATAACCTTTCTACTTAAGGTAAAAGATGCAGGGAGTTTATAAAATATTATTACTGGTACTGGTATAATAATGCCCAATCAACCTCAGCAATCAATATTGATGGCAACTTTTTTTCTTACAAGTGTGAACATCCAAAAGATATTTAATTTAAAATCAAACAACAAAAATAGGGTTCATAAATTTTCTAAATTTATTAATGAAAAGTAGCTCAGTGTTTCTTTGTTGCCTCCTGTGCCTTGAGTACTCTTGCCACGATCTTCTGTTCCTCAATTAAGAAAGCACGAATAATCCTTAAAAAAAAAAAAATGTTTACCATTGTTAAAATAAAACGACAATTGATCCAACAACTAAGGTAATAACATATGTGGGACTGTATTCAGTGAAAATAAAATAAATGGTGGAACAAAATAAAAAGAATGACTAAAAGGTGGTTTCAGCTAAATGCCTTCATCAGCAGACAAAACAAAAAATAAATTTGAAGTTAAACGTATTCCAATGTCACAAAGCAGCTTTCTCAGTCTCTGAACAAACCACATCGGTTTGGTTTTATACTTATCTCTTTATTTTTTTTAGTACCATACCAGTAACTAGGATATGTATCACAAAAATATGCAGGCCCATGTTGGTATAGATTTTCTGATAGTAAATTGGACAAAGAATCATATGGTAAGAATGTTGGAATTTTGAGCTACCGGTATCAGTATGTGAAATGAATATGACCTTGACATTTCAGCAAAATGAACAAATGTGCAATTTTTTTCTTTATCCTTATTCAACTCACACACACAATGGCACCCTTTACCCTCTAAATAAGTTTTTGAAATACAGAAAACATTATTTCAGTTTCAGAGAACATTGATAAAAATCTAATTAATACATTGTATTAATTTTTTTTTTTTGAAAAATGCAAAAGAATTGAAATATTTAACAATAGGAATAGGAAGGAAATCTAATCTGATAGGATTTACCTCCTTTTTTAACGACCTCTGACTCACATCACATTTATAATATTACTTATTTTAGCAGAGGATGAGTATTTCGGCTGTCACACCACATAAGTAGTCATTAAGACAGAGATAACAGTAGGGGGTTAATGTACACGTTAAAATTTCTTTTAATGAACAAGTTCATTTAAGTATGAAATCAAGGAAATTAACGATTAATGTGTTTTAAAAAAATTAAATATACGTATGTAACTGTTATATGTTTATTACTGCCAATATGTTAATGTAACGCAGTGATTACAGCTGGGGTACCACAGTATATAAGAACACTAATAATAATATTAACCATTAAATTCTATACCATAGTACCCTGTCAAAAAATTACTGCCATCTTAACTGCAACTATTGCTGGCATTGACTACCAATGTGCACACACAAATAAATGTTTTCATAAACCATAAAGATCATCAATATCCCTTTATTAAAAAAACGGTAATTAGATGGACTGAAGACTAAATGTATATAAGTGGCATCACTTGAAAACTTTGCAAGCGCTAAGAAAGGGATACTAAACTTTGGCATAATGAAATGTGTCGCATAGATTAAAAACACCTGGATCTCATAGAAGAAGGGAACAGCAGTTATGTGGGAATTTCAACAGTTTCCTTGTATGAAGCATACTACTGCAATGTATGCAAGAAAGTGGATAAAAGTACTTTGTTATTAGGTGTGAGATAGAGGCAGTATAGTATAGGAAGGAGAAGGATCAGCACAACATCAAAATTACCTCTCTCTAACTGCTTTATGGCACCTAGAACCTCCATAGGCACGACTTACAGTTTTCTGTCTCTTGCTCATGGCAGCCAATTTGTGGGGTCTTACAGCTGCTACCTAAAAAAATAAAAACAAACCATTTAAATAATTGTATAGTGTTTGCCAAGAAACAAAAAATTTATGACAGCTAAATTTGATTAAAAAAACAAATACGCCCTAGACTACAAGATTTTCTTTTCAAAACTATTATTAAAAAAAAAAAAACTAATTTCATTAACTAATCACCAGAATCTATTAACACATTAATTAAATTTCTTCATCTCACCCCTCTTAATTTTGTCTTGTAATCTCCACATATTGGGGTCTTGGCTAACTTTTTCTGGTACAAATAAACAAGTTTTCCACCAGGTGTTTTCGATCTAGTAAAAAATAAAATATAAAGTCAGAATCAGGCATAACATAAACATTGCCATCTCCAGCAAGACTTTTAGATGAAACCAGCATTTATTTTTTATATATTCATTTTTTTTTTGGATAAGTATGAACATATTTCATTAGGGTACCGGTAGGCAAATTTATAGTTTATTTATTACTCAATTCTATACCAAAAAGTGATAAAAAAAATCAAAAGCACAATGCTTAATAAATAGGCAGTGTCTACTCGTATGGCGACCGGACAATAGGTGCCGGAGATATTCTTCCGACAGGCATGTCACGTGACCCCCGGACAACTATGTGTTATTATTCTGCAAAATTCAACAACAAAAAAAAAAAGTCTTATCTTGGTTTTAATATCTTATAAAGCTCTACCTAGCAGCCTAAATTTAAAATATAAAATATGAACCAAAGAAAATAAGACCAATATTTGCCAGTTGACTGTCAAGAGACCTGTCAATTTTTTTTTTAATTTTTGGCTATTAATATTAATATGTAGGGTCTATTTCTTTGTGAACTTTCGACCTCCTCGTCTTAATTATTTATTGCACTCTGTATCATTTTTATCCCACCTCTCTCAGTATACCTTCCTCCTAGTATCGATTGCCCCTCCCCACTTATTTGTTGAAATGAAGTAAACTCACCACCCACATGCATCCATGCCATAACGCCATTTTCCTGATAAGCTATTAGCTGTCACGTGCCAAGGCTGACGGACAAATTTTTCACGCAACTTTGTTATGGCGGTCATGTGACTTAGTCACCAGACGAATATCTCTGGAACTTATTCACCCAGTCTCCGGACATGTAGACACTTCGTATTTAATACTAAGGCTAACCCAGGGGTTAGTTTTTTTTACACCGGGTCTAAGTATAGAGAAAATACCCAGTTGGTCAAAGCAGTGCAAAAAAAAAATAATTTCATTTCATTATATATGCAAGCCTTTAAACAATGGCCTTACACACAATCCCTACAGGACTTAATGACGATAGGCCTAATCTTCTTACCTGGGCTCACTACTCTGCAGCTTTTTTTTGTTTCCTCACTCAATACTATTAATATAAAACATTATGAGTAGGGAAAGGGTGGTTTTTTAATAGGAAGCAGCCACACCAAAGTGAAATAAATATAGGAAGACATTTTTTGTTAGGCACAACTAGCCTCCCACAGTCAATGAATTAAAACAACCAAGTGTCTACGCGTCCGGCGCGCCGGACAAATAGTGCGCAAAATATACGTCCGGCGGTATGTCACGTGACCGCCGGACGGCTAGTAGTTTTTATAATTCCAAAGGAAGTACAGTTTGGTAGATATTGTGTGGTCTAGTGGTAGAGTGGTCGCTTGACGTGATGATAATATGATATGATGATCAATACCGGGGATAGGATATTTTTTTTCTCCCATTTTAATGTACAATATTTTATACTATATTTATATTATCATGTTCATCAGCAACAGTAGTTTCATGAGAAGTTTTTAAATATTTTTCTAACAATTTAAAATGAAATCTTTTACTTTTATTGGTTGGTACTCCACACTGGCCCCTAATTTATTTTATGGATTACAATTACTGGTGCACAAACTCAAATAACTAAACAAAAATGTTTACAAGCCACTTTCACTTAATTTTTTTCTATTATTTGCATTCAAGATACTAAGTACATTACTTGGTAGAGACATAGATTTTAAAATTAACAATAGTTTTGAATCATTCGCAGTCACTTAACAAGGCTGACCGACAAGATATCTCTCGCCACTTTGTTACGGCGGTCATGTGACTTGGTCGCCGGACAAATAGTGCGGGAGATAGACGTCCGGCGAGCCGGACATGTAGACACCCTATCTTGAGATATGTGAAATAGGCCAATTAGGAGTACAAAATAATAAAGACTAAACCTATTTTCGTTTTAATCATTTGAAGCAAGGCTACTACTTCAGTACAGCCAGGTAATTGACTCAATACCAATGAGTAACATAATCATGCATAAAGATAGGTTTTACTTACACCTTTCTGCGGTTGGAATTAGTGTTGTAGGACAGGCGGCGCCTGAAAGTGAGACGCTGAACCATCTGCAATTACACCAAGACGTTTCATAAGTAAGTAATAAGCATTTCTTAAATTTTATTACATTTAATTGTGATGTTTAGGGTAAAATGGTAAGCAATCATTGCAAAAAAATAAAAAAGTGCTTTTCTGTAGTTACCAATGCCAACTTAAATAAATTATTTATTCAATCATTAAATAAAGAACATACGGTGATAATTTTAAACAATTATGAATCCAAAACTGAATATTATTTAAGATTTGAAACGATTCCACAACAAAATACAAACAATTATACCTTTACTCTTTGCTATTTTTTTTAAAAAGGAAGCGGAAATGGTATTGTTTAGTGTTCAATAAAAAATGTTGGAGTGGAATTGAGTGGATGTTTTTTCACGCCTTTTCATTTAGAAATAAACATACAAATTGATATATCTTTTTAAAATTATTTTAAAATTTTACTTCAAAAAATTGTTCTTTAATCTTTCTTAGTTTTAAATATTAATATTTTTCATAACTGTTAATAAGCTTCATGGTCATGGGAAAAAAAAAAAGAATGAGAGTTAATCTTTAGGGCTGAAGTCCTTAAAGGTGTACTTGAAAACAGTGCTAGCAAACCTTGGGAAATGTTCACAGATCTTGAGGATTGACAAACTCTCTGGGGAATAATTTTGAAAGACCAGAGAGACCTTGGGAAAATGTCTAGTCTGGAGAAAAGAGTATAGGTTGAGGAAAAAAGGAGAGACATATCATAAACAAAGTAAAGGGCCATCCATAAATGTATGGCATTTTTCCGTCTGCGGGAGACGATAGATTATCTTTATTGCTTGCAGCTCTTTGTGTGGCTGGTGAGACCATTGCTCGAATGGCATTCTCTGTTACATTTCCCACACACGAATGCGGTGGAGCAGTATTTACCGGTCTTCCTCCTCGCTCTTTTTGCAGCTGTTTCCGCCCTGTTTTGATCCTCGGCATGTAGTGATCCTGCCTTCACAATGCCCCGCCATGAGGATCGATCCTCTGCCAACTCCTCCCAGTTTGAGATGTCGATGTTAGAGGACTTCATGTCTCTTTTGCATATGTCTAAGTATCTCAGACGAGGCCGTCCAACTGACCTTTTCCTGTCGCCAGCTCGCTGTATAGCACGTCCTTTGGTATGCGACCAGATTGCATTCGCTTGACATGTCAAAGCCAGCGGAGGCGTCTTTGGATTAACATGGCTGGGACGCTACACATGTTTGTTTGGGACAGTACATCCATGTTGGGGATTTGTCTTGCCATTTAATGTCAAGGATGTGGCGCAGGCATCTGAGGTGGAAGCCATTGAGCCTTCTTTCGTGTTTAGAGTATGTGGTCCACGACTCGCATCCATACAGAAGTGTGCTCAGTACGCAGGCCTGGTACACCTGCAGCTTAGTTCTTGTTGTTAGTTTGGCGTTTGACCAGACTCTTTTCTTCAGTCTGGCCATAACAGTTGCGGCCTTCCCTATCCTCCCACTTATCTCATCCTCCATTGAGAGGGTGCTCGATATGTTGGATCCCAGATATGTGAATCTGTCAACAGTATCCAAGTCGTAGTCGTCGATGGCGATAGTGGGGAGGGAGTCAGCGCCCTGTGCCATAATGTTAGTTTTCTTTAGGCTAATTGTCAGGGCCAAACTCTTTGCAGGCAGCGGATAGGCTGGATACGAGGCTCTGCAGGCCGTCAGCTGTGTGAGATACCAAAGCTGCATCGTCCGAAAACAAGAACTCCCGCAGCAAGACCTTTCTTGTTTTAGTCTTAGCTCTAAGGCGGGCAATGTTGAATAATTTTCCGTCATCTCAAGTGTGGATGTATATCCCCTCGCTGTTGTTCTTAAAGGCATACTGGAGTAGGATGGAGAAAAAAATTGCAAATAAAGTAGGAGCCAGCACGCAACCTTGCTTTACTCCACTATTCACTGGAAAAGCTTCTCAGGCGGCACCGTTATAGCACACTGTGCCCTGCATGTTTTCGTGGAACTGCTTGATGATGTTAAGCACTCGTGTAGGGCAGCCAGTTCTTTTTGATGATCTGAAACAGGCCACTTCTGCTGACAAGATCAAAAGCCTTATTGAGGTCGACAAACGCAATGTATAAAGGCATATGTTGCTTCCTGCACTTCTCCTGTAGCTGGCGCAGAGAGAAGGTCATGTATATGTTTGACCTACCGGCGCGAAAACCACATTGCGATTCTGGGAGTACACGAGATGCTAGGGTCTGTAGGCGTATCAATGTAACTCGGGCGAAAGCCTTTCCAACTATGCTGAGGAGGGAGATTCCACGATAGTTGTTGCAGTCACTCTTGTCTCCTTTATTTTTGTACTATGTAACGATGTTTGCATCTTTCAACTCTTGTGGTAGCTGTCCCTGTTCCCAGCACAGAGTAAGGATATCGTGCAAAGGCCGTTATAGTACTCCTTTTCCACATTTGAGAGCTTCTGGTGGGATACCATCATTGCCCGGGGCTTTCCCACTGGCGAGACAATCGATGGCTCTACGCAGCTCTTCTATTGTGGATAGGGTATCAAGCTCCTCCATGACCGGCAAGTCTGTGATATCGTCCAGGGCAGCGGTTGAGACTTGGTTTATCGTTGCGTATATTTCCAAGTAGTGCTCTATCCACCGCTTAAGTTGTTTATCTCGATCAGTAATAATTTCCCCTGATTTGGACATTAAGGGCGCAGTCTTGGAGATAAAAGGGCCTGTTGCTTGCTTTATATTCTCGTACATTAACTTTGCATCACCTCTATCAGCAGCTGATTGTATGTTGGAGCTTAGATTGAGCCAAGACAAATGCCCAGCAGGCAGCCCACCACTACGCCACTACGCATCCATAAATAACCTCACGCATTAGGGGGGAAAGGGGAGAAGTGGTCACACATTTTTTAATATGCATTGTGAGAGTGTCTTAATTTTGTGAAAAATGTGACGAATTTGCTTTTGGGATAGCAAGGGTTAGTACGGGACGAGCAAATAATTTGCAGCATCCTTCCAAGACAAAATTCTAGAGTTAGCAGAGAGTGCTAAGTAAAGAAAAGTGGAACTTGTTTCTACCTGTTTATTTCGCCCACTCCTATTTTTTCTAGGGGTGTGCCGGATCCGTTTTTTCCAACCGGATCCGGATCCGGATTTTCTTATGCGAAATCCGCCGGATCCGGATTCCGGTTTCTCCCGGATTCCGGATTTTGGTACTATTGGTAGATACTTCGGTAAGTCAAGGTGGACTACTACTTTTTGTGTATGGGAATTCGCAATCGGCGCCAAAAAATCCGAGTTTTTAATTTTCCGATGTGTGTGTCTATTTATTATTAAATTAGTACTTTCGATATATATTTGAGTTCCGTTCCATTTGGATAAGTGTCTTACGAGAGACGCCATGTTTCTACGCGTTCGCAGCAGGTTATGCAGCTCGCTCAACCTAATTTCGCCATGGGGTTGGCCACGCCCCCCTTTTTAATGGCGGAAGTTGACGATACTTAGGAAATATTAATTTATTATCACTATTTACATCAAAATAATTGATAACTTGTGTTTCAGAATGCATTTAAAGACATTTAAACTGGAATGTTTTAATTTGAGCTTTAACAACCCGGTAGAATCCATATTATAAATGATCAGAATTTACCGTGTGCAACACGTTGTCATTGGCAACCATTCACAGCCACTTGCATAACTGTATCGTAGTACTACCTCAGAGTTTCATTCATAAGAGTTTGCCGTGTGCAAAAACTATTAAACCATTGGTCAGGGAAAGCTTTAATTAATTATTCATGTGCCAAAGTTGAAAGTTTAAACTAAGTCTAAACAGTATTTTAGTGATAAGGCAGGGAATGCGTTGCCTTATATAAACTATATAGTCATTGCGCATGACGGGATTGGTGGAATGAGATCACAGAATGTGGAGATGCAGTCCATGTTAAAAAATGACAAACCAAGTCGTACTTTAAAAATTCATAACTTTAAAACTACAACAGCTAAAAATATGATTTTGGTGTTATAATTCTTTAAAAAAATTACATCTTTTCAACTATGCCATTGGTTTATTTTTACAAAAAGTTTAAATTTTCTTATCAAAGTCCCTACACTATTGGCCACTATTAGCGGTGCTGACTCTAGCCTCTGGTATGTACGGAATATTAAACATTAAACAAGCTCAACGCTCGAAACAATCGATTAATGTATCGTGATCGTGTGGAATTCGGGAAAGAGAATTACTTTTATTTCAGATTATGATCCGGTGAGTCACAAAATCTGGCAAATTCCGAAATCCGGTATATTCCGGAATCCGGTTGTTCCGGATACATGTAAATCCGGCGGAACCGGATTTCACCGGATAGTGCAAAATCCGGCGGAACCGGATTCCGGATCGGGGTCCGGCACACCCCTAATTTTTTCTCCCCTTCTTAGGTAGGATATGTATATATATATATATATATATATATATTATGTAAATTTAATTTATACTTATTTGTCTTTTTGTTGTAATGATGAAGGCATGTGCCGAAACGTATACTTTTGTATACTGTAAAATTATTATTAAAGCTTACCTTATATTGTTATATTGACACAAATTGTTGGTGTCTATTTAATCTATTTTAAAGCTATATTGCAGTCCAACACTTTTTACAAGATCATCAAACTGGCAGCCTGCCCGGTACTCCAACGTCAATTGAACGAAGACCCCGACTGTGCAACTTGGATGTTGTTTGGTACTGGTTTGTAACCGTGGTTGGGTGGCGTATGAAATTTTTGTTGATGGTGAGGGGGTTAAAAGCTTTGGTCGGGTCATGGAAGGTCAATAAACTAGTGAGGCGAACAAATGGTGTGTGAACACGGCGTGCGAGTAGTTCCAGTTGGAGTTATCGCTGGTTGTCGTTAGAAAGTTGTTACAGAGAACTTGTTTACATCATATTTCTTGTGCGTGCCCTCTGATCGACCCCGCATGAGACGCTGTGTTTCAAAGGGGCGTGGCTTAGGCTTTTGAAGTAACCTGTTTACACCGCCAGCCACTGAAAATAATTAATCTGTTCCAAATAGTATTTGGTAGAATGATTTAGATTTTTCTAGAAGCTTATCGAAGGCAGGGCTTAGGCGTCGGTAGACCCACCTATATAAGGGATTGACAGGCACGGACGAAGGGAGACGGACGGAGATTTTTCACATAGATTTTCTTAACATTACGAGGCGTGTTTTATTCTTTGTGTATTTGTGTGCTCCTACTTATATGTGTTTATTTCGCATTATTTATTGGCATCATTATTTCTAATTGTATTATTTGTGTACCGGTACGACATCTGCCATACTGTAAGTTGAAGATTGTAATTTTATTTTATTTTATTTTGTAATTATCTTTAGACATAATAAAACTTAATTAATTGTAACTAGAAACTGTTTTGGGTCGTATCTTTAATAATTGTTGATTCTATGGTATCGTCCTTTGTTAGGCACTGTTTACATCGAGCCAAATTAAAATTAAAATAGGAGATTAATTTCTCCCAATACAAGTCAGTGCGTAACAAAGTGTTTTCGAATATGTCAAGTTCTGTTGAGGAGTTATATCAAGCC